GTGCTTTTTATGGTGAACTATCTGCAGGCAAGTGTCCCAGATACAAACCTAGAAAGCACTTTAAAGATTGCATCAAAACCAATCTCAAAGCTCTTGAGATATCAGTTGATACATGGGAACTGGAGGCTGAATGTCGACCATCATAGAGAACGACAGTTCATCAACGTTGTAACCAGTTTGAAAAGGACAAGGTAGAACTTGCTAAGGTTAAGCACAATCTTCGTAAAGGTAATCTTGAAGTGCTATCTTCCACCCAAAACTTACAACATGTATGTAGTTTATGTAGTAATTTAGCTTTTTCAAAGTCATGTCTTCAAAATCACCTTAGGTCTCATCAGGATCGATCCATTGAAAGAAGTTGGCAATAAGTCCTTATGCCTTCTTGTACACTCTGCCATAAAGTGTGCAAGTCAGCTTCTGGATTAACAAGACATAAAAATTTATGTTGATGGCATGCCTATTGGGCTTAGGGATTTCCCTTTCAGATGCAACATTTGCGCAAAAGCATGTATAAGTAAGGCTGGTTTAAAGAGTCATCTGTGCTTTTGTGATTGGTGAGTCTGAAATTTATATAACAAAAAAGAAAAGCAAAAGAAATTTGTTGTGGAGATGATCTTCTATCAAGAAGTGACAATCACACACACACACACACACACACACACATATATAGGCATGTGTTGTTGAAAACTACAGAACTTTTCCATTTGATGATCTTCTTTTCAGGTTTTTTTTCTTGCTTTCTCACAAGTTTTTTAATATTTGGATCTAAGTTGTTGAAATAGGACCCTAATTAATGGTTTTTGATGAACATTTTCGGTTGTCATCAACTGTCATCATGGCGTATGTTTTCATTTGAAAATATGTTGTTTATTGTCTTAGTTTTATAGATAATATTAGATGATATTGTTGGGTTAGTTCATTATTAATAGGGAGGGGATTGGAGTTTATTATTTGGAGGATTAGTTATTAAATATGTTTTTAAGATGTTTCTACCAGTATTAAGTGCTATTCTATTTATATTGGGGTTTTGGTTTTTGATTAGGATGGCTTCCAGAATTTGTAGTCGTTTTTTGCAATTGTTTTTGTAGAGGATTTTGGTGGTGTTAATTAAGATTTTCTTTATGTCGGATGATTTGAATGGGTTACTAGTTGTGCTGTGTATTGATACAAGATGATATTTTATGGCATTGGTGTCATTGAGGTGCTATGTGAGCCTATGTGAGAGAATTGTGATTGTGTGTCCAATGTATGTGCTAGTGTTATGTGAGAAACATTCTCAAAACTGGCAAGTAAACCTATACACTACATTGGTTTTTATTGAGGAACAGTCTGGGTGGGGGTTATTATTTTGGACGATTATGTTTGAGGTTTTAAATTTAGTGTAGTATATTTTATTTGTTGGACAGGTTTAGTATATCTGTGGATGGTGTTATTGTTAGTTCATCAACTTTACAGTTACTGTGCATTTGATTCTTATAGAAAAGCTTAAGTGTTATTGTTGTCAATCTTTTTTCTTTGTTATTTTTATGAATATTTGAAAGGTAGTGTTTTATATGTTTGTTGATTAATTTATTGGGAAAATTGTTGTTTATGAGTGTTTGTTTTATATTAGTGAGTTCTTTGTAAAATATTGTTCAAGATGAGGAGATATGAAAAGCTCGATTGATTAAGTTTTTGATTAGGACTGTTTTATATTTATCAGGATATTCATTATGGAAGTTGTGTAAGCAGGAGGTTTTACTTGTTGGCTTTTTAAATATTGATATGTTAAATGTGTCTTTGTTGTTGGAGTCTGTCATATTTAATGAAGCTTGCATGAATGAAGGATTTATGCCTAAATACACAATATATATATATATATATATATATATATATATATATATAAATAGATAGATAGATAAACCTAGTGAGCCAGACAAACCTACCCAGGTTTCACCTAAGCGGATCATCAGGGAAGTTTTGCTAGTTGTATCTGTGCGATTTTTTTCAACAGACTTTCATGTTTCTAGCTCTTTCTTTTTTTAAAAACCTTTTTTTCCCTCAAGATAGATTTGATTATTGGCAAATCAAAAATTCGAGGGTTTTCCAAAACGAGTAGAGTTACTTATATTAGTATATATATATATATATATATATATATATAAAGGCTTTTCTTTTTTAATCCGACATTTTTATTTCTTCAAACATTATGGGTATACTTGTATTTGAGTAGATGTTCTGTTTTTTTTTTTTATTTTAAACAGAATTTATTTTTTTTGTCTATCAGCCTGTACACTTAAGAAAACTTATTAAATTTATCAAATACATGTATCTGCTAAAAATAATATTTGAAATAATAAAAATACTTCAGATTAAAAAATAACTTCCATTATTTCTGTAGAAATTGCTTTGTTTACGTTTCAAGTCTGATATGTCTTTCAAGAAAATATAAACAAGTGAGTGTGCTTTAAAGGAAATTAGAACCTTGCTTGATTGGCAAAGTTTTTGTACCTGAGCAGTAAAAACATGCTAATCAGTGGTTTCTCCTGCAAATAAGAACACTGGTTCAAATCCATTTTCTTTAATAAGTTTTCTCAAGTGTGCTGGCTAGCATAACAGTTACAGTCACTTCAATGCAAATAGCCTTAGGAAAGATATTAACCCATCTCTTTCCCCTAACTATGGGTTAAATAGTAGTTGTGCCTAGACAAATATGGACAAGTCTTTTCTGGGTCATTTACTCATGGATGTATGGATAGTGGCTCTGAATGAGAAATCGGTGAACTCTGTTCAAATTCCAGCCAGGTTTATTACATTCACTTAGGTGCAAATACACTTGGGAAAGGTACAAATCCATCTCCTCCCCAGATATGTGTTAAATAGTAAAATTTTTATCTAGAAAAATCATTGTTATTGTAAAAAAAAAAAAAAATATTGTTAATGTAAGAAATTCGCTCACAAGAAAAAAAAAAATCATTATTCCTAAAATCCAAAATATGTTTGCCTTTAAAGGTTAAAAAGGGTTGATAAACTGAAAAAAATCAATTAATCAATTGATTCTTTAGTCAGAGTGTGAACAGCAGAGTATGTACTGATGTCTGAGGATCACGTATCAGGATATTCTTTAAAGAGTAATATAACTGTATTTCTGCAAATACTACAGTAATTTTTAATGAACTCTGTCACAATGCTCTACCATGAAGAATACCATTGATGGTGCATGTAAGTAACAAGGAAGTTTTAAGAAAAATGGAAACATGACTTAAAATCAGGAAGAGGCAGTTGACATTTCTAGGACACATAATGAAGAAAGAAGGCTTGGAGAATTTAACACTCATAGGACATTGAAGGCAAGAAGCAGAGCAGAGGAAAACAGTGAATAACCTACATAACAAGCTTAGATAAGTTGATGGTAGAACAGGGTGTGGAGTGGATAGTAAGGGATCAAATACTACTAAAAGCTACAAAGGAGAGAAAGTTGTGGAGAGCCATGGTTGCTCATCTCCTGAAGGGTCATGGCACATAGGAAAATAATAGATTACAATGCAACAGTGATAACAATCTTACTACCATGAAGGTTGGCTATCTCCTGCCCACATCTGATTAAATATTCAAAGGTCTGCATTTAAGATAGGAAAATTGATTTAGATTTGGATTTCCTTTGGACACTTATACTTAAAATCAGAAAGAGAGAATAGAAATTTCTTGGGTCCATAATGAAGAAAGAGGGCTTGGAAAATTTAACACTAACAGGTCATGCTGAAGGTAAAAGAGACAGTGGAAAGCAGCAAATAATGTACCAACAAGCTTATGTAAATGGTTGGCAGAACAGGGATTAGGAAGTATAGCAAAAAAAAAAAAAAAAACCTTGCTAAAAGCTCCAAAGAATAGGAAGTTATGGAGAACCATGGTTGCCCATGTCCTGAAGATGCACAATACATAAAAGAAGTTTATACAATAAAGATATGCATATGGTGATTTTCTAAGTATAGCTTCAATGTGACGCAAGGCTGAAAGTATGGGGCACCTAGTGAGGATCAAACCCACTATTCAGTCATAATTGTTCTAGCAAGATAAACTTGCTAACCATTACACCACATCAAACTGTCCATTAAAATATGTATATGTAATGAACAGTGGCAATTTTTACATATTTTCATATCTACATGTAAACTAAATCAGACGTAAAATATGTTATTTTTTTTTTCCTTTACTTGAAAATTCAAATCATTGTGTCAGAAATGTTCGATTAATTAGGAATGGATGATAATCTCTCAATAAGTTACTTTGCTTTGGAACAACTGATGACGAGATAGCTTCTAAGAAATTTTCGTCATCTTGAGTCTTTTTTTATGCTAGCATTGAATTGGACAGTGAATCAAGACAATTTGCAAATAGTAACAAAAACATTAGACACAATGATTGTTCAGAAGTGGGCTGTCAAGATATAACATTGCACAAAAAGTTCTCAATCTGAATTGGTTAATTGAATCTTGAAAGAAAATCTTTATTGGGATGATAGTCATGTGCTTTTCATGACAACAAATCCAGATAACTTGAATCTTGGCCTTAAATACTAACTCATGCAACAAGTGATTGAAGTTTGTTGTTTGTGTGTACAATTTGAAAACTTGTTGATGTTGAATGTTTATTGATTTATTGCAACTAGGAAAGCAGTATGTGGAAGGGGTCGTTAGTTGTTTTGATTTTTAGATTCATTGGTTCAAAACAGATTCTGGAAGATTGGTACAGCACAGTTTCATTTGAATTTTTTATACACACCTTGATCTCAATTTTTTTTTATTCATCTTAGTCTCAATTTTCTTCCCTAACTCACCTTGATCTCAATTTTCTTCCCTAACTCACCTTGATCTCAATTTTCTTCCCTAACTCACCTTAATCCCAATTTTCGTTCCCCTAACTCGCCTTAATCCCAATTTTCGTTCCCCTAACTCGCCTTAATCCCAATTTTCGTTCCCCTAACTCGCCTTAATCCCAATTTTCGTTTTCCCCTAATCCCAATGTTGCCTTTCCTCCTTAATCCCAATTTTCATTCCCTAACTCGCCTTTTAATCCCAATTTTTCGTTCCCTAAATCACCTTAATCTCAATTTTCATTCCCCTAATTCGCCTATTGCCAACTCACCTTAGTCGCATTTTCTTTTTTCTAACTCGCCTTAGTCGCATTTTTTTTCCTTACTTGCCTTAGTCACATCTTTTTTTCCCAACTTGCCTTAGTCACATTTTCAAACTTGTTAAAAATCTTTTCTAACAATTGACACTATCAAATGTATTACAAAATCAAATTTTTCTCTTCTCATCAACAATATTAACTTTTGTGAAGAGAAAATATCTCAAGATGAGAGAGTATTGGTAAATTCAGTAGATAGCAAAAAGAAAAGTCAAATCTTTATCTTTACACGATGTGTTTGTGTAGCATCTCTCAATCTAGAAAAACTGCAGATCTCTACCATGGGGGAGTTTTTTCATTTTAATTGCTTGTGAGAGTGCAGCATCTATTTTATAAGTATCAACTGAATTTCTTTTTTCATTGGAGACTGCCAGTTACTCCTGTAGCATGTCTTCTCCCTCCATGCTATGGATGTTCAAGAGAAGGACAAGTCTGATAGTTCTCAGCACCAGTGTCATGGTGGGAGATAGATGTAAAATCGGATTGCATTTGGAAATTTGAACTCATTGAGCAGAGTTCAAATTTCACTTGGGTTCATTACATTCACTTAGATACAACTATCCATCTCCTCTCTATGGCTATGGGTTAAATAGTAGGACATATCTATGGGAGGGGGGTAGACTGTTCTTGTTTTGCTGACTATATCCAGTGATATCTCCTCTATTTTTTTATTTATTTGAGAACTGTTAACTTATTGCTCATCCTGTTTCCACTGGGTTTAAATCTGTACTGCCCAACCCATAGGTTGAACTTACAATTATTTCTGTGTGCAGTGCCTATTCACACTGTTGGTGATCATGGCTCTCCACAATATCCTGTACTTTGTTGCTCTTAATAAATTCTGTCTTTTTGTTATCTCTCCTAAACCCTGTTCTGCCATCCATTTACTCAAGCTTGCTCAGTTGGATATGCTTTGTTTTCTTCTCTCCTCTTATTTTTAATATATCCTGTGAGTATCAAATTTTCCATCCCTCTTTCCTCATTATGTGTCCTAGAAATTTCAATTATCTCTTCCTGATGTTAAATATAAGTGTCCCTTTTGTTTCCATTTTGTCTTTTCTCACATGTTCAGTCCATGGTATTCTCAGCATCCTTCTGTAGAACCATATTTCTTTTCTTTTTTTTTTTTTCTTCCTTTCTTTTTTTTTTTTTTCAGTATTTCATTTTTTCTATTTTTCCCCCTTATATTTTATTTATTGTTAATTCCTCCACATTTTCATTCTTTCCAATTTTGTTGAAAGAAACTTTCAGAAACTTGGCATTTAAAAAAAACCTTCAACAAAGTGTAAACTAAAGAAAATGGGTGGAAGCAAAACACTAGAGTAAACACTAATAAACGGACAATTGTTAATGTGGAAGGCGATGAACTGAAAGCATTTACCAAATATTTTTCTTTCATTTCGCTGTGAATTCTTCACACGTTTTGGAAGAATTCATTACCAAAATTGCAATAAACTAATGACCTTGACTCTATATTTGACATCCTCCATTTCTCTTGTCAGGAACAAAAAATAGACAAAAATCATTACTTACAGAATTTATAGCTGTATTATTTTACATCAAGCATTTTGCACTTTTTTTATTTTTAATACAGCATACTTTGTTTTTGTTCATTATAACATAATATTATTACTTTTATGTTTCATCTTCAACTCCTACATAATCTATTATTATTATGATTATTATTATTCCTTTTCTTCTTTCCTCGTCCTATTATTATTACTACTCCTTTTCCTCTTCCCTTCACACCATTATTACTATGCCTTTTCTCCTTCCCTCGCATCCTATTATTATTATTATACCTTTTCTCCTTCCCTCGCATCCTATTATTATTATTATACCTTTTCTCCTTCCCTCGCGTCCTATTATTATTATTATACCTTTTCTCCTTCCCTCGCATCCTATTATTATTATTATACCTTTTCTTCTTCCCTCTCATTATTTTATTATTATGCCTTTTCTCTTTCCCTCTCATTATTTTATTATTATGCCTTTTCTCTTTCCCACTCATTATTTTATTATTATGCTTTTTCTCCTTCCTTTTCATTATTTTATTATGCCTTTTCTCCTATTATTTTTGTTATGAGTTTTCTTCTTTCCTCTCATCCTATTATTATTATTCCTTTTCTTCTTCTCACTCATCATTTTATTATTATGCCTTTTCTCCTACCCTCTCATACTACTGTTATTCTTTTTCTTCTTTGCACTCATCCCATTATCATTATTATTATTTTTTCCTCATCCATTATTATTATTATTACTTCCTGATCTTATCCCTTTATTATTATTCCTTCTTTTTTTCCCTCTTATTACATTATTGTTATTATTATTTTCCTTTTCTTTTGTCCACTTCATCTCATTCTTCTTCTTCTTCTTCCTTTTCTTCTTCTACCTCCTCCCATTAGTTTGATTTCTCTTTTTTCTTCCCTCTCATCCTATTATTATTTTTCTTTCCACCTGTATTCTCTAAATTTTTCTTTTGTAAAAACTCGACAATGTCCACCATCTAAACATCCAGCATTTTTTCCATTCTTTGCTTCTAATCAGCTTTTTTCACTTGAAATATTCTTCTGAATAACCCGATGACACTCTTTGAGGAAATCTGGTGCATTTTAAGAGGTCACAGACTAAATTTTGTGCAATGGGATGCCTCAAAACAAGTTGTGTGAAATTATCCCCAATTTGTCCCAATAGCTTATGTGCTCCATAGTAATTGACCTAAAATAGTGAGAAGAAAAACTTGAAGATAGAGACTTCACCTGAGAACTGTCAGTAAGTTTTGTCTTGATGTTCTAGTTAGGCTATAAATGATTATTTTGATTAGTTTTAGTAAATCAATGAAATATTGTTAAAAAGTTACAAAGCCCCAAAGTCAAGGAACACATTTGGCCTGATAAATGTTTAATACAGGCCTGCATAAAATATGGCATTTGACCCACATGTGGCCCATACAACAACCCAGCATGACCAGAAGGAGGTTTTCAAAATAATAAAATATTTGTCTGATCAGTTTTATAGAAGCATGACTATGTACTTGTAAAATCTAATATGTACTTTTTGTTAATCATTTCATCGCAAGGAAGGTGATAAAGTTACTGAGATGCAAGATGTTACTGAGGATGCAAGACAATAGAGTGAAGGAAACTGAGAAAAAATTAGTGAGGAGAGAGGACAATAAAATTTGAAGAGACAGAAGACATTGATTTTGTAGTTGACAGGAAAGCAAGAAGCTGGATGAAAATTCCACAGGTGAGAAGTACAAGAGAAATAATCATTAAAATAGAATTTATATTTAGACTTGGGTATCTTTTTACCATTCCTGCTTATCAATCTTCTTTTCAGGTATCTGTTACTTCTTTCAATGTGCACACCAATTGAACCTAGGTTTATGCCAGACTGGTTTTTTTTTTTGTTAATTTTAATGGTTATTTATTGATCCTGTTAAGTAGTGTCTTCTTTCATTAAATGCCTGGATTGACTTTAGGTCTAAAAATACAACCTGTTTTTGTATTTTGATTTGCCACAAAATTACAAGAGAAAATTAAGATTTGAGATGAGAAAGATGCAAGAATAATTATACTGGGTAGCAAAGATTTTGCTACTAAGTTAAAAGCAGGTATTTTAGAATAAATTAAGCATTCTGATTAAGAATCCTTACTCAAAGTTATTCCGTCACTTCAGGCTTGTGTGTTAGATTATGTGTGTAATCAGGAAGACTATAATAGATATGCTATATACATTTCTCAAAGACCTGAAGTGCTGGCCATTATTCTCAGTGGAGTCTACTTAGTCTTGGTTAACTGATTTTATTACATGTCAATCCTAGTTTAGTTATTTAAAATTGACTTTTACTTAGAACACCCAGTGAGGATTGAACTCACTATTCAGGTATAATGGTCAACCAAACTAACCATTACCATGAGGTACCTGGCAAATCTACAGATAATAAAGGTAACTGGAGACCCATTATTGCATGAATTCTGATGCTGTCTAGTATCTTAACTCTTGTGTGTAGCATTCATCAGATCTAATGATGGGTTTAAATAAATTTTACTTTCTTGGCCTAAGTTTGGTTAATTAGTGTTCCACCTCTTTTTCTTTTTTTTTCAGTGCATCATTTTACCAAGTTTTCCCTCCCCCTCTAAGTATGAATAAAAAAACAACAACTTTTCAATAACAGAAAATCAGTTAAATTTTTTCGACATTTTAATTCTCGATTTTGCTTATGAAATCAAAATTGATGAATGATTTCATTTTTTGGATTAAATTTCTGTATGTTTACCAATTTCTTGAATCATTGAAAATTTAGGCAACTTACTGTTTAAGGTTTTTTTTTTTTTTTTTACTCCTGCTCACTGAATCACATTCCAGACATTCCTTGGATATACACTTTGAGCCTTATTTCTAGAATACCAGTTCAATGAACAGCCTAACTCAGGAGCAGGCAAACTTTTTTGTCATGGAGAGCTACATCATTGCTGTCCCTGTGTAAAGTGGGCAACTCAAGTTTTTCAGTGTCAATATAACAGGTGTAACAGCAATTTGTCCAATTGTTAGATTACACTTTGAATCGTTGTAACTTAGAAATGATTAAAGATATCTTACCTGAATTCTCTGAGGTTTTATACTATTGGACTCTACTTTGAACAATAAGAATATATTTTGTTCTAAGTTGAAATGATGATCCCTCTTTCTGTTGTGACCTCCTGATTCAGTTTTCCTTTTTACTGTTCCCTCTTTTTTAAACTTATTCACCATTCTCTTGATGGTTCTTGAATGGACTTTGAAGATGGAAGTCAGAGTATGAATGTTGGTACCATTACTGAAGGCCTGAATGACCTTTTTCCTCTTACCATTGCTCAGTTGGGAAGACATTGTGGGGCTGACACAAAATGATTTTAACCTGTTCTCTTTCTAGCTGAATAACTCAGAATAATAATAAGGTTTTTTCAGTGATTCTTCAACAAATGATGTCAAAATGACTAACTGCATTATCTGAAAACCTGGAGAAAAAAAAAAAAAACTAAAATACCAAAAATGCTGGATGGATACCATACTTTAAATATAACACAGATAAGTTTTTTTTTACTGGGATGGGGTTTGCACTATACACAGAAATACATCCAAAATCTTCAGGGGTCACACTATATATGAAGTCAACTTAAACACAAGTACATACAGTATTTAAAAAATAATGATTGTTGTGCTCTTCTGAGCTGAATAAAATCATCAGGTGGATCACAGTTTGCCTACACCTGATCTGAATAAATGCATTTTTGAAGAGAAAAGTATATATTTTATGCTGTGAACTTGGTAGGTTTTAATTTTGCCAAACTCATCTTGTCTGTCCTGTTAAAGTGAAGCAGTGTCACTAAAAGTGCCATTAAAGAGTAACCCTGAAGCATCTCTTCCCTTGATGTCTAAATTCTATACTAAGAGTTTCTTCTATTGCACTTCTCACTTGTAGAACTCTTTTCTGGCTTCTTGCTCCCAGTCAACATTGATCTTCAACAATTTAAATATAATGTCAATTGTTATCTACTGTCTTCTCAATTCTAGTTCTTTTATTGCTCTCTGTCTTCTCAATTCTAGTTCTTTATTGCTTTATCTCTTTGATCTTCAAAAATTTAATGTCAAGTTATCTTCTGTTTCTTAATTATTCTTTATTGTCCTCTCTCATTAATACAAGTTTTTCTCATATTCTCTAACACTCAGTAACCCCTTGCATCCTAGTGGCTTTATTGCCTTTGATCTTCAAAAATTTAAATGCAATGTCAATTGTTATCTTCTGTCTTCTTAATTCCAATTCTTTTATTGTCCTCTCTCATTAATAGTAGTTTTTCTCATATTCTCTAACACTCAGTAACCCCTTGCATCCTAGTGGCTTTAATTGCCTTTGATCTTCCAATATTTAAATGCAATGTCAATCGTTATCTTCTGTCTTCTTAATTCCAGTTCTTTTATTGTCCTCTCTCATTAATAGTAGTTTTTCTCATATTCTGTAATGCTCAGTAACCACTTGCATCCTAGTGGCTTTATTGCCTTGCTGGGGTGAAATGATTAAAAAAATATCTTGGAAGAAAACTGCTGCTGGCACCATGACTAAATGATTATGAACAGAAATTGGCCATGGCAGTAACCATGAGACAATATTAGATATTGTCATATAGAAACCATGTTAAAGTGTGACATTGAATATTCTGCTTAAGGCTTCACTCCTTCCATGAAATAGTCTTTGAGGAAATAGTTTTATACCTTTATTGTGAGGAATGATTACAAATGATACATTGATTCTTGGAGAGGCTTGGTAACAGATTTTTTTTTAATTAATTCATCCCAAGCAATGTGATATAATGTCCACTGGGAATGAAAGAGAATGAAGACTTCAGAAGGAACCATAAACCCAATGCTAAACAGGAAATGAGATAAACCACTACTCCTATTCAAAAGATCAGGAGGAGTATGAACCGGATGATAGGCGAACATATCAACTCCTATTGAAAAAAAAAAAAAATCTTACTTATTATAAAACGCAGATTGTGTGTGTCTGTTCATTTATATATGGGATCGTATTTCCTACATTTTTCAACTGATTTCAACAAAACTTCACAGGACTACGTAAAATTACCCGGTGGTGGTTCTGACAGCACTAAAAATTGGAAAAACACAATTGTTTTTGCACAAAATCAATTTGAAAGCATGGGTAAGGGTATCGTACCCAGCTGGAAGTTACTGCCGGCTACTCAAACGTCCGAAAACAGAATGAATGCCATTAACTTCTGGTAACTCAGCTCCCCCTCTCACCTTCACCTGGCCGACCCTCTTGGAAAATAAACCTCCACATCTCAAGTGTTAATAAAAGCAAAGCATGTCAGATTTATAAAGATTTCCTATTTGTCCCTTATCGTATCATTCTCTTGCACTCCTATCTATATTTGATCTTAATTCATATATATATATATATATATATATATATATATATATATATACAGATGCAAACTATGCCTGGAAGAAAATAAGTACAAAAATACAAGCCAGTTATTGAACCAGAGAAATGAAATTATACTTAAATGTCATCATAAAAATAAGTTTATATAGTCTTAAAATAGACATTTATTTTGCATCAAACCCTGAAAATATAATTTTTGATGGATTTGCACCAAAATTTACATGCACATGCTCCAAGTTAGCAGGAAGGCCAAGACTGACTTTGCATTTCCCAACTCCCATCGATAGTGGAAATAATCGATTTTTTCATGCTTCTATGG